TATAACAACAATGTTGTAATAAAATAAGGTGTAAAAATCATAATAAAAAAAATCTAAATATATACAAATCTCTACAATTGAAATCTGTAAAGAAAAAAGTTTTAATAATACATTTTAAAGAATTAAAGATTAATTCTCTATTTTTCTAAGTAGCAAATTGGATAATTTGGGGGGATAACAAGAACATACTCTAATGTTCCTAATGAATACAAGTGCAACAGACAGACAGGAAACCAGAAGGTTACAAGATAGAGAATAGGAAATTAAATGTGCTGACATTAAAAGTACTTATAGCCTTAGAGGTACGTATAGAAATCTTAAAATACACACAAAACCTGATGTGATCTCTTGCTCTAGGCCTAGTCAGGATTCTAGCCGCATAAATTTGAACATGCTGATCAAAAAGTTTATTCAGTGTCATTTTTTTTAAACCACAGCAAGCAGAAATACATTACAGTAATATATACTTTATGGAAACATTATTTTATAGTTTTTTTGTTTTTGAACGTTAAGTATTTTTTAGGTTGAAATACTTTGCTGAATTAAGTTTTTTTTTAGATTTTAGATCTAGAAGAGATCTAGAATCTCTTTCCGTCGATCAAAGCTCTACAGTAGCCACTTTTCCACCATAAATCGCCTTGTGCTCTGAGGACAAGCCGTAACGTGAACTTCTCCAGCTCGTTATGATCTGAAACAGCGCTCTTCCATGTGACGGATAATTTTTTTGTTTCATCTGAGCTTCAATCCCCCTGCCTGCAGAAAACAAACAAATACTTGTGATTATAACTGATGGCTTGGAAACTGGAGAGCGACTTGTTTATTTTCAGTGAACGAAGCCAAACGCTGGGCACATTTCCTCGTCTTACCATTGTGGATGAAGCAAAACGTTGCATTGTAGGTCTGCGTTGTTTCAGTTTTGTTTTAGTTTGAGGGTAATTGCGTTCTCTTAATCAGCAGTGATTAGGAAAGAATGGCTCGTTGGATGACTTCTTTAAGGAATCTAAAACATGGTGTTTGCGTGTCTCGGAAGAATAGTATTTTTGTTTTTTATTTAAAAAATCAGTAAATCAAAGCATTAATTTAAAGCATGTGTGGGGGGATGTTAAGCAATGTGTTTTTTTATTATATGGGCACACAACATTAACACTGATTTTGTTTATGAATGTGTTCAGAATGTTACTCTCACACACACACACACACACATGCTCACACTATCACGATGCCACTAAGTTCTTTTTAAGAGCATCATCAGATTTCTCTCTCTCTTTCTCTCCATTCCCTTGGCCCTGTGTTACAGGCTTCAGTTTCCATCACATAGACTCATATGTACTGTAGCATAGATCTTTTCATCACTCAGAAACAATTACAGTATGACGGAACATAACTGGTCATGGTGCAGCATTATCTCAGCACATTTTGTGGCTGATTAACCAGTTGTTTGGTGAAAAAGATGCAGGTAAATGTAAATATTAAAGTAATAGTTCACCCAAAATTGAATCTTATACTCGTCCTCAAACCTGTATGAGTTTCTTTCTTCTGTTGAACACAAAATAAGATATGTTGGGTACCAAACAGTTGCTGGTAGCCATTTAATTCCTACAAAAATCCTATGGAAGTCAATGGCTACCAGCTGTTGTATGTATTTATTTATTTATGATTGATTGATTAAAATATGTTGAGGATTCATTGATGTTGAGCAGGGGTGTCAAACTCAATTCCTGGAGGGCCAGAGCCCAGAGTTTTGCTCCTACACACATACCATGTAGTTTTCAAATAAGCCTGAAGGACCTGATTAGTCTGATCAGGTGTGTTTAATTAGGGGTGAATCTAAACTCTGCAGGGCTCCGGCCATCCAGGTATTGAGTTTGAGGAATACATTCATTTGTATGTATATTATGTCCAGGATTTGTCAGAACTAACTGTTCTTGTTTTGATTTTCCCCATATTTTATCTTCTTAATAATTCTTGAACAAATTTGTTTCGTGTTTTATAATCTCAAATAAAACAACAACAACAACAATAATAATGTTCTTAATCAGTAAAATTGAAATAAGGTTTTTCCCCCTCCTTGATTAAGAACTTAGTGAGAATTGACCAACCAACAAACAAACAAACAAATAAATAAATAAACGTATAGCATTCCAATAGAACAAGAAAAAATACAATTATATTAAAGATGCTTTCTCTGGAAATTATTCCTTCCTTCCAAAAATAAATGTATCTTGTTTTAAGGATGCTTAGATATTTTCTTTTCTGGAACAAGATGATGTTGATCTCTCAACCTCACAATACTTGTTTATACACCTGAGCTGCAATAAAAGTGAAACTGACATTTTACGCGAGCGTGTTTGGATAGATTTGACCTTGAAGAAGTGTTCCCTATATGCTGCTCTTTGTTGTTTTATCGAGACTTGTAGGAAACGGCCTTGATGAAGAGTGTAAGAGTGGTTTGGATCAGTGGCTATCATTGTGAGTTTATTTTTACGATACAAACTTTCCCAGGCACTGTTTGTGATAAAAGTCATATCCTATCTTAGGACACAATCCCGGTCTTGATGACATGAATGGATCGGCGTGAGTGGTAGCTGTGACGACAGGACCGGGGCAGAGGTGGCTGGGCTGTAGAAGCACCTCTCTTAGGTCAGGGTCAGAGTTGAAAGGTCACAAATGGCTGCCTGTATCCTCTCATCAGGTCAGAATGGAAACGGCATTGGATACCATAAAGCCGTATCAGGGTCCTATCAGAATGAATGGTTGAAATCCAATAAACGTAAGCCTTGTCCCCAACACACAGCACTGATCGTTAAGGCTTTTTGATTGGGGTCATTGCTTCCTTTAATTAAAGAATAATGCCTTTCCCTCACCCATCGAACATGCGTTTATCTTTGTAGTGAAATATATATTTGTGTGTTTGGTCGATGACGGCTATTGAAGTGTTTAAGTGATTCTAGTACATGTGCAGGTTTTCTCAACAGTGTCATCTACTAAACTTTAGCTAGTTGAATGGTTAAAAAAAAAAAAATTCTAATTTATTCCTCCATCCTGTCCCTTCAACTTATTTTCCTTTCTTATTCCACCATATTCCATAAACACTGTGTACAGCGCACAGTCAATTCCTAAATGAATTATTGATTCCAAATTTAAAGAAGTATAAAAAATAAACAAATAAATGTCCCGTCTCTGCACATTTTTAAGCTTTACTTGAACTACTTACTTGAAAGTGTAACGTGTAAAAGTGTTCAGGAGAGCAGGGACTAACCAGACTCAGCTTTCTGTCTGAAAACTGATTTAACTGAATATAGGTACTCAAATATTTGAATGCTGGAGATACAAGAGTAAAATGCATCTAATCTGGGAATTAACAGCTGTACACGTGAACAAAGCCACATTTACAGTTATTTCCATTTTAAATTCTTTTGGTTTATTTTGGTCTCCGCCTCACTTTTCTTCATCTCCCATAGGATGGTGAAATATTTCCTCCTTTATACTGTAAGCAAGTACATTTGCCCGGATTCATTTTCATTTATGACCCTAGGAATGGGCAGGGGATTACAAATAAATCATCATCATGAAACTATTGCTTGTGTTGCACCTCAACCTAGACTTCAACCTAGCACTCTCTGTTGACCGAAACAAATGAGACATAAGAGTCGCAGCGTTACGCTCCTGTCTCCCTGAGACAGTCTCTCTGTGAAAAGAGCCCTCGAGAATACACGAGCAACTTTGTACATACTCATGTTATTATTATTCTTGAGACGATCACAGGGAAGTGTTGAAAGGTTGGCGCAGCTGTGAAAAACGTCAGTGATTCGCTTTTTCTCCTAGGCTTGTTAAACATCACTGAAAGCTGTGGTTTCTGCAGTTGTTTAGACTAACACCTTTTACAGCAACCGGGTGAGACCTGTTAAAGTTTGTGAGCGGTGTGCTTGTTTAAATGCAATCTCTTGAATTGAGGATAGGATTTAAACATGTTAGATGACCGTTTTGGTTTCTTCCTCCCTCCCCCCAGTGATCCCTTCATCTGAACAGAGTTTGAGGATGATAGAAACAGCTTCTGTTCCTCCTCTAGCATCTGTGGAGGATACACATAAAATTCCCACCAAATCTCACCAAAGCATGTGTTGTTTGATAGCATTTTGTGATGGAAATTAAATTAAAATGACACTTTTCTGAACTGAAATGAGGCCTTTGTATTGCTTAGGCTAATTAAGTTAAGCATACCAAATACATTTCTATAATAATTTTACATTACACTTTGACAAAATTAGAGCCATGACAGTTTTAAAACTCTGCTAGTTTTACCATGGAAATTAAATTAAAATGACACTTTTCTGAACTGAAATGAGGCCTTTGGGGGTTAAAATAAATTCTACATGTCCTTTTGACAATATTTATTTAATTTAAAAGTATTTATTTTACTTTTTGGTAACATTTTAATAATAATTAATATTTTTTCAAGTGTAAAACAATACATTCTAAAAATTTTAAAGTAGTAAATAAATTCATTTTTTTATATGAAAAACATAAAAACAATAAAAGTCAGTTACAAAAAAACACATACAAGTAGTGCATCTACAATGTAAAATTAATATAGGTTCTGAAAGGCTCTCACATCGACCTGCATATAAAATTATATGGTCACTAAACTATTTATGAATTTTTCCCCTACCACCCAGTTTCTTACACTGTGCTAGTTCCATGTCTCTCTTATCACAAGGAACTTTCTTTCTTCTCAAATCATTTAATCAGTATTTCAAGTTTATTTATTTATTCAGCGATCAATGGGGTAATATAGTATACAGTCATTCAGTTATTATTACAAAATAAACCCTGACAGAATGATACTGAATCCTGGATGATACTGAAACTTGATGTTGGGGTTCATTTTAATCCTTCCATATCACTGACATGTGGATGTTTATTCTGATGAAACCCAACCTTCCCTTCTCTGCCTGTTGTATTAATTCCAAGAGTAAAGTCTATTTTATTTCTCTCCACAGGAGTGGCAGAATTCCATCCAGAAGAACGCGGGCTTGGCCTTCATCGAGCTTGTGAACGAGGGCAGGTAATTATCTAATCCCGTCCTCTGACCCTTTGCTAGCAGCCTCCTCATTATCTCCCGGCCTACAACTCTCCGTGTGTACGATCAGATTCTGTTTGGGAGGAAATCAATGTAATGTGGAAAGGGGATCACCAGGGTGACCTGGAGTTCAAGGCGTCTGTCAATAACTTGGCTTGTTCCCGTGGGTTCCCATGTGTTTCTGAGAGGGCTGCAGCGCCTTAGTTTCTTGCCCACCTCTTGGGAAATCTTTCTCGTATCTTGCTGTTTTCAGACGGGTTTATGTATCATCTGTTGGACTCTTTTACTCAGACTCTCTTTGGGATGGAAGGATCTGTCTTCAATTTCAAGCCCTTAGATCTTTCAGATGGCTCTCATTTCTATGTTCGCAATGGAAATTCATGTTAATGAATGCTGCCGTGCTGATGAGTGCTCCAGAAATGCTAATGAATGCAGTGATGCACTGAGGCTCCTCCACCTTCACTGCTGGCCATCTTTACAGCTTTTTCAAACATACACGCTTTTCTTTTGGAAAGCAGGGTCAGGGTTGAGACAACATCTGGGACACCAGCACCTGTCATAGAGATATCAGTGCAATCATTGCTATAAAAGTGCACATCAAATATGTCATTATAATGCCTACTTTCAATACTGGAGTTTGTAACATTGTTTGAATTCTTACCTAGCCCAAAGAAAAGAACTAAAACGAGAACTATGGCAGTGCAGTGATTATATTAGGTGATAATTCCATTGTACTTGGATGGATCAATGATGTGACTCATGTTTTCGTCCATATTCATTAATTTATAAAAAAAAAATGCATAAAAATGTGCTTTAAACATACAATGACCTGCAACACCTTTTAATTTTATAATTTGTAATTTTATAAAATAATTTTATAATTATAATTTTGAGCGTAAAGTAAAAAAGTTGTCTGTGCTGATTTCATTGGCTGATTTCATTAAAAACCTCTTAAAAAATTATGAAATTGTTGAAAAGAAAACCTTATAAAGTTTTTTTTGTTGTTGTTTTTTTTAATGACAAGGCAAGGTTAGGTCGGGTTGCAAAATGTCGTGGTGCAACTCACCAATAATAATAATAAATTTATTATATAATAAATTTATAATGTACTTTTCTCATACCCACAGCGTTACAAACAGTAAAAACAACTAAAACTATAAAAATTAAAGAAATAATACTGTACAAAAATACAGTAAAAGCTAACAACACCCTATTGAAAAGCTAATCAAATTAATCAAGATAAGCTATTTTAAAAAGATGGGTTTTTAACAGTTTCTTGAAAGTGCTTAATGCGAATGAGAAGGCATGTACGGGGTAACTTAAGTCACAAAATCCATTCCATGTACAACTTTATATTTTAGAGTGAGAGTTTTAAAATCAATGTGCAATTTAACTGGAAGCCAATGCAAATAACAAAGCACATTTGTAATAATGTGATTGTCACGATCACCAGCTGGAGTGCCCTTGATTGCCACCTTGGATCCTCAGCCTTCGTGTCCTCGTGCAGTTTTGTGACAGAAGACTTCGCCACTATAGATCCAGCTGTTGAGTTAGTAGGCAGCAAGCTCCTGTGGCCAAGTAGCTTGATAGACTGCGCATTCCAGCATGCCCTACACTGAGGATTGCGAGCCCAGTGTTTGTAGTGTCTTCCACTCCAGAGCCTCGACCCGTCATGGCTGCCAGTCCAGAGCCTTCAGCCGTCATGGATGCCACGCCAGTGTTCCCGGTCATCATGAACATTGCTCTTGAAGCTAGTAAGGCAGTGCCCTGGCAACCGAGACTGATGTCCAGTGTGGCGAACCCACCGCTGGCCATTTTGGGCTGCATATTGCTCTCTGGCCCATAAGTCCGCTCCAGAGCCCACTCTAGTCCATGAATCCGTTCTAGAGCCCTCTCCAGTCCATGAGCCCGCTCAAGCCCCAGAGCTCAGTCCTGTGTTGGTGCCAGCCTGTGAGTTCCCTGCCTGTCCTGTCACGGCCAAGAAAGTCATTCCTGAACTCTCTGAATGTCTCGTTATGGCCACAGGGGCCATTTCTAACCTCTCTGAGCCCTCTATCGTTCCATCTGCTCTGCCTTGGTGGCCTTCAGATCCACCGTGGTGGGTTCCAATTCTGTCTGAGCCATCTTGGTGGTCCTCTGCACCATCAGCTCCGCTGAAGTGGTCTTCCGCTCCATCGGCCCCACTGTGGGGATCTTCGGTCCCACTTGCGCCACCCTTGTGGTCTTCTGCTCCTCCCAGGCTTCCAGCTCCACCGCCCCCACCCTGGTCACCTGCTCCTTCAACTCCACTCTGGCTCCCCTTTTAACCTCAATCTTCAGTCCTTCTTCCTGTCCATGGGCCTGGCCCTCCATCCCTCCCCCTGTTCCACCTCCCTCCTGGACTTAAGTTTGTTCTTGTTTTTGGAGCGTCTGGAAGCCGCTCCTTAAGGGGGTACTATGTCACGATCACCAGCTTGAGTGCTCTTGATAGCTGCCAGAGGGCACTCCATCCCGTACCTTTGCCACTCTATCCTGGACTGCATTTCCCATAACCCATTGCCTGGACTCATCATGCCTGATTGTTTGTTTTCACCTGTTGCTCATTACATCTGCCTATATAAGCCTGGAGTTTTCAGTCACTCTTTGTGAAGTCTTGCATGTGTTACAGCTGCAGTTCTAAGCCTTTTATCCTGGTTCTTGATATTCTGCCTGTTTATCTGGATTACTCTGTTAGCCTCAGCCCTGAACTCTGCTTATTGAACTGCTTATTGTGTTTGACCTCATGCCTGTTTTGACTACAATTGTGGATTATTCCTCTAATCAACTACTGCACTTGGATCCTCAGCCTTCGTGTGCAATGATGTAATGTAATGATTTAGATTATTTTTTTTGTATCTTTGGCACTAATATTTGCCATTTAACCTTATAACGTAATATATATTAATTATGTAATGTAATGTAATTTAATAATATAGCTATAGAATATAAAGAAGCACAAACATGATTTTACCGTGGTATAATCTACCATGCTAATAATATAATGGCACATTTAGGTACTTGTTTGTTTCTATCATATCATGAAGTAAGTAAAAACAGATAAAGAAAGACAGGAAAGCAAAATGGTGATAGAGAGAAGGGCAGTCACACAGAGTGGGCTGTTATTAATGGCAGTCGGGGTGAGAGGGGTGGGAGAGGGTCACTGCAGAGTCCCTGGCACGTCCGCTCCCCCGCTGCCCACCGCTGACACACCAGGCTCGAGTTTCAGCCCTCCACCCTCCGCCTGTTATTTTTCCACTTTGCAGAGGCCTGAGCCTCCTGACCTGCTGAGAGACTCGTCTCTGTCCCTGGGGGGAGTGTTTTATTAGGCCGCGGCTTGTGTTGTTCACAAATCTGCCCGGGGTGTAAATATGCTGTTTCAAGATCAGGTTCCTCCCCATCTGTGCTAACCCAGGGCACAATGGACAGAAAAAGCAGTGCTGATTCACAAACAAGACTCTGAGATGGACAGAACATCTTCGGGTTTGGATGAGGGCTGACAAACAGTAGCAGTAAAAGCAGGATGCATCTGATTTCCCATCAGCCCCTGTAATCATCAGATGCCCTGTGATAAGGAGCAGTTTGTGTGTGTGTGTGTTTATCCAAGGAAGGCTGTTCTTACATATGTAGAAACATGAGCCAGGGTGAGACGCGCCCCATCTCCACACCCCCTGCATCTGTATCTTGTTAGATGCATATCATTTACAAATCAATCGCTGGTTGTTTTTAGTGGGGTGGTTTTAGCTGCCGTGCTAAATATGATTTTCTGCTTGTTTTACATGGTGTAGTTAAGTTGCTTTAGCGTACTCTTGACACTTTGATGGCCTAACAACTGTGTTATTAAATCAGTAAAACTAATTTCACGGATTAACAGTTGAGGGATGTTGAAGGTCTTCATTTTTGCAATTTTTTAATGCTATTTTATGAACATTATTATGTCAAATGATATACAGTGGAATTTATATACAGTATTATTTATTAGGGATGCGTGATTTACCAACACAGCATCATTTATCGCTGATATTGGCAGATGTTTTTATTATTATTATTATTTAGGGATGCACGATATTATCGGACTGATATCGGAATCGGCCGATAATGGCTTTAAATGTAAATATCGGCATCGGGCCCAATATGAAAAATTATGCCGATATGTCTTGCCGATAAGAGGAATACATTAACTCACATGTGCTCAGGGTGTGCTAGTGATTAGATCACGTCAGCAGTGTGGCTCATTCTTGAAGAAAAGTTTTGTCTGAATAATGATTAGATTCGCTTTGGATCGCTGCATTTAATCTGTGAAAGCATCATTCAGAATGACGCGTTTGGTGTATGATAGAGTAAACAGTAATAGCAGGTGCAGTGGCAGCAGCGGCAGCCTCCCCCGGGTCCTAATGCCCGTTCGGTAAGGAGTTTTAATCTGTAGGGGGTGCTGTTGGCCTACTTCTAATTAAATTAAAAGTAAAATAGCCTACACAAATAACATTTAGACTGTGTTTCTGATTAAATAAAGCAGTAATTGATGTCATAAAATAATGAGTATGTTTTGATTTAAAGGTCAGAAGCTATAGCTTACGTGAAAAAAAAAATCACAAACATGACACTTATACATATACAGTATATACTGATTTATTCATTAATGTGTAATGTTTTATTTTTTAAACAAATCATAAGCTGTAAAAGATTTAAAGAATTTTTACAACTCTTTTGCTCTAGACCATCAACAAATGTTAAATCTTAAAATAAAATGTTTACTGATATTCATTAATGTGTAATATGTTTTATTTTTTAAACAAATCATAAGCTGTAAAAGATTTAAAGAATTTGTACAACTTTTTTGCTCTAGACCATCAACAAATGTTAAATCTTAAAATAAAATGTTAGGGTTAACCCTGCATCTTTCTGGGGAAAAAAATGCGGCGATTGATATGTTTTGAGCTGCACAATATGTCAGAATAAAATCAATATTGGCTTAGTGTGATGCACCCCCCATAATAATTATATTATAATAATAAAATATAATAATATTTTTTTCATATCACAATATACTGTATATCACAGGAAAACAATGTCAGGAATCACAATGTCAGTTTTTCCCAATATTGTGCAGTCCTACAGGTTAATAATATCAGCCATAATATGGAAATAGTTATCAGTGTATCTTCTAGATTTAAGTTCTTGAAGGGTTGTGTCTATAAATGTGTCTATTGCATCTCTTACGATCAGTACATTTCTTAATAAATGAAAAAATATGCGTGATTTAGTTTAATCGGATCCGTATAAAAGTATTTGGATTCAGTTATGTCACCAACACAAACTGCCTCATTGCAGCAAAGAATTCAGACAGAATCATGTGATGTCAGGTATGAACTCTTAAACTTCAATGTGGTTTTGATGTACAGACTGCTGAGCCACACCATGAAGGACCATCTGGTGCGTGTAGCTAATGAGGCCGAGTTCATTCTGAGCCGCCAGAGAGCAGAGGACATCCACAAGCACGCGGAGTTTGAGGTGAGCACACACACACACACACACACACACACACACACACTATCAGCATCAGTCTACAAGAGTTCTTGTCTGTTGTCAGTGATGCTCCTAAAAGTTTTCAATAGTTGAAGACCCCATTAAATGGCTGGATGGACACCCTATGAATGTGTTTAAAATATATTGATAGCTCTTGTTGCATTTTACAGGCTGTTGTCCTATCAAATGATGTATAAAATGAGAATACCATCTAATACCACTTCCCACTGACTAGCAATAGCAGGTAGCAAATCATAATTCACGGCTGTGACATACATAGCTATGTAAACTACTGTTCAAATGCTCAAAAATCTTTTATGCTCACCAAGGCTGCATTTATTTGATCAAAAATACAGTAAAAGCTGTAAATTTTGTGAAATATTATTATAGTTTAAAATATCTTTTTAATCTTAAAAATCATTTTCTTTTTTTAATATATATTTTGTAAAATGTAGTTTATTCCTGTGATGCAAAGCTGAATTTTCAGCATCATTACTTCAGTCTTCAGTGTCACATGATCCTTAAGAAATTATTTTAATATGCAGATTTGGTGCTCAAGTTACATATCTGATTATTATCAATTTTGAAAACAAAGTAAGTTTTTACTGTCACTTTTGATCAATTTAATGCATCCTTGCTGAATAAAAATATGAATTTCTTTAAAAAATAAAAAAACTTTTGAATGGTAGTGTATAAAAAGTACAATCCCTTCAATATGTCCTGCTCCAACTTAACAGGGAAAAAAAAGTCCAAGTCACGTCATTTCATGGGATCTTGAAGACTTGCTTCTAAGTGAAGCAATAGCTAAATTTTCTTGACACAATGTGCAAACAAGCTACTTTCACTTTTTGCAGATATATTCTGTTTCAGGCTTGATTTACAATTTTAAAAACCGTTGTAAGATTTAATGAAATTGTTAAGCCCCCACGAGGATATAAAAAAAAATACGTTTTGTCTGTCTGAACTGAGAGGCTGCCAACGTGAGGGAGAACAAATGTTTTCTTTTCAAACTGAACTTATATGGAAGAAGGTTTCAAGCTTTGGCTACAGAGATTGCGTTTGGCATGTATCTTACCAAAACATAGCAGCACAGTTGATTTATTCCTTATAGCACAGCCATGGGGCATTCCTCCACCGCTGCCCCACCAAACACGCACACACATCACCTCTTTTATCACTGCAGTCTCGCTTTCTCATTCCTTCCATCGTTCTCCATTTCTGTCTACCTGCTTCTTTTTCCCTCACAATTCCCTTCGGACTCATGTTCTGCCAGTTGTGCTCCCTTTGTGGGAGAATTTCACCAGTGACAGGAATACAGCACCTTCATTTCTGTCTTCCTTTCGTTTCCCGTCCCTCCCTCTGGTTCTGTCTGGCTGGACGTGACAGTGTAAAGGAGGAGTGGGCTCTGCTCTGTTCAACATCTCCCACCCTCCAGTTGTAAAATGTTATGCTTTGAGAAAGGTTCAAGGCACGGTCTCTGAACTGAGACTGGGAGAGGAAAACATTTGAAAGACAGTATTAAAAGTAAACATGTAAAACCGGAGAAAGCGATCGTGTATCATGTCTGTGAAAGGTTCTGCAGTAGTCTGCTTTGTTAGGGTCATGTTTTGTATGTGATTGGGCCTGTACGCTTATTTTGGCAGCTTCCCTCAAACGCTTCACCCAGCGTCTCACCGTTTTCAGAAAACAAAGGAGTTCTGATTCATTATCAGCTCAGAGAATCAGAATCGCTTTATTCGCCACTGCAGGAGCAGAGTTGAACGCAAGTCAGTGTTTCTTGTACTTTAATTCAAGAGTGGCATTGTCCCACTGCTGAATCTGCAGGATTTTGGTCCAATACAACTCACTACAGTCCTTACTGAATATTCAAAATCAAATATACAGTTGGGAATTGAAAACAAGCTGCTAAATTTGACAGATTCTTTCTAACTAATCAGTTAAACTGATGGGCAAATGACTTCCTCATTGAATCTTTCAGATGACTCACTCAGTAAACCGCAGCGTGTAATTATGATACATTATTAAGACTTCATATAAACTATCATTAAAACAGTTTGGGATTGATGAGATTTTTTTCATATTCTTTTAAGAAGTCTTTTATGTTCCCCAAGGCAAATATAGTAGAAATTTACAGTGATATTGTGAAATATTATCATAATTTAAATTTTTTTTTTATTTATTTTTTTTTTTAAACTATTTTAATATATTTTCAAATGTACTTTACACAATGTAACAAAAATTTGTTTACTTTTATATATATTTTTTTAAAGATATATTTTGCTTTTGCGAGGACGGGAACATTCTAAAGTTTCTGTAACATTCTGTAATATTCTAGTGCTTTCTGCAACATTCCAGTCATACACTTCTGAAGTTTTGGGCGACTCACTTTTGCAAACTGTTTATGTCAAACTGTTGTTGTTAGCTCAGTATTATGCATGTAGCACGTCATTTTTATGCATGACTAATAACAGGTTAGCTTGTCAACATATTTTTTAGCTTTCATGAGCACCGTTAATGACACAAAAAAGTAATGGGATTTTCATATTCAGCATGTCAAACCTCATAAATATTTTAAATAAAAGCTAAACAAAACTGTAGCAAAGTTCGTAGTCACGGGAAGAAGGAGGCGGGAACCGGCGAACACTCAATGAAATCTTTAATAAAATAAACAAACACAAAATAGCGCGACAGCCCCTCGCGGACAACTGTCGCGCACAAACAAAACCAAAACACAAAATAAACTCCAGGCCTGGTCCTCTCTCGTCTTTCACTGTCGTCCCTCCTCCTTTTTATCCTTCCGGAGCTCCTCCGTGAGACTCGAGACCGGTGAGTGGCGCAGGTGTCGCGCATTAGCAATTACTCCACCGGCCTCGCTCCGTTCCCACGGCTCTCGGCCCCGCCCCTCTCGTCACAAAAACTTTTATAAAAATTAGTTTTGCAGTGTTATTCCTGTGAATTTTCAGCATCCATTATTCCTGTATTCACGGTCACATGATCCTTCAGAAATCATTCTAATATACTGATTTAACGGTCAAAAACATTATTTTAATTATTTATTTTAATAGATAAAATATACTGCTGATAGCCATGTGTTTATATGGGCTGGCGTCTCATTGCAACAGTAACACTCAACACTATAAGAGCGCCTGCAGGCGTGTGTCCTGTAAAACAGATGAGAGCTGGCAGTATTGCTCGAACATACCCCGCTTAAACAAGCTTCCTTACCTCACAGTGACATTTAGAGGGAACCTCGGAACACCCTTCCTCATCATTCCCACTGCCCCAAATTCCCAGGATTGGCCAAGTTCTCCCAGACGCTCAGTGGAAGACGGCCGCACACTGGGGACGTGCTTAGCTTTCCTTTTTCTCTCTAATTGGCCCCTCTGGTCCGATTCTTTCTGCTTTTCCAGCTTCACTCACAGCACGGTGGAGAATGTATTATTCTCACAAATACTGCTGGGTATTCTGCCAAATGCTGAAAAAATGCACAGATAATCAGTGCCAGGCACATTATATGGATGCCAAAAAAACTGCACAAAAAGCACATTGTTTTCTTATCATTTTACAGTCTTCAGTTACATATATTTATTTTAAAAAATGAGGTGAAAATGTTGTGCAAGATTGCATGAATAAAAGGGCACTATACTATTTAATCCTCTACTTGAAATCTCACATAATGCTGTTCTCTGTGGAGCAGACGGTTTCACATGACTTAGGAAATCAGGTGCAATTATGCCATTTTTTGTCACTTTGAGTTTAAAGTGCTCCATAATGAAAGCCATATGCTGTGATGCTTCATTGACCCAAACTCTCTTTAATAAGAGAAACCGATGTTGGACAGACAGATGGCTGGGAATCTTTTGATTGGTTTGATGTACAGTAGTTTGTAGAGGGAAATAGGGCATGGATAGTTGGGTCACAGTTACTTGTGACGGTTATGGATCACACTTTGATTAGTGCCTAGATGGCAGCGTTTAAGTCAATGCTTCCCAAACTGTGGGCCCATCTCATATAGCCAGGGTGTCCGTGGAAAATCACTCAATTGTTTACAAAAATTAAACTGAAAAACTAGATACATCTGGAGACATAGTTGTCGAAGTGTATTTTATTTCCCACAATATGGCTTTTCAGTCACAGCACAGATTTCTCAAGAATCCATCTCAGCATTGAATCCCTCGCTTAGATATAGTTGCTCCTCTGTGACCCCTGAAAAGCAGGGAGCCTCCGATAAGTGCAGCACTGATATTGCCGTATTGATTTTCCTCTATTCCGGCGCTTGCCATCTTCTCTGAGCCACCGGTTTCATTTTGCACGGCCACAATAAAAATAACAGGCCAGTGAAAGATGCCCCCGTGGGGATCACACTGCCTTTCCATCCTGAAGAGCGGTTTACACAGGATTTGGATGTTTAAGGGAACAACATGAAATATGAGACATATGAGAACCAGAATGGATGGAGAAGTTTGCTCTTTGTTTCTCAATATTGTTTCGTTCACAAATTGCTGTGTAATGCTGTAGCCTTGACTACATTCAGAATGAGGACGATTCACCTGTTAGTTGTCTGTGATCTACAGTTACTGTAGCAATATTATAACGGGGCTAATTTTCTTTGAGAAGGTTTGGTAAATTTGTATTTCACATCTGTGTTTTTCTCATACAACCTACGTAAACCTTTTGGAGAAAAGTACGTACAGTTTTTTTTGGCAAACTCATGGGTCCTCTGAAAAATCTAATAATGCCTGGGTAGAAATGTCTAATTATGGTATATTATTTTTTCCACATCACTTCTCATTTTATTTTCAACTTCTTTTGTTGAATACTGCAATTAAAGCTACAATTTTTGCGACTTTCTTTATTGTTTTACTGCCTGATGCACCTCCTTTCAGGATTTAGGATTTTGATTAATTTAATGAGTAAAATAAAAATTTAGGTACTGATCGCACACAATGAATGCATGAATGAATGAATAATTAAAATAAAATAAG